TGTCCACCCTACATACCAATGTGTTTATTCCCAGACTCCCATCAGCAGTGAAACTGCTTACCCTCCAAGAAGAAATGGAGAAACCTGTTCCACTGATCCTGTTCTCCTTAGTCCTGTCCCACAGACACCAGTAAAGTGCACCAGGATTTGATCCCTTCTACTGGAGAGCTGTACAATGAGATGGACAGTGCTGAGGGCCAGGAAATGGTTCAAGAGGTGGCCAGACGGATAACAAGCCATAAATAAGGGGAGATATCCATGAGAGCCATTTTATCGCTGAGTACAAGTACCTGGAGGGAGAGTGCAGAGAGGATGCAGCCTGGCTCATTTCACTGGTGCCCAGTGGCAGGACCAGGGGGCTTCGGCTGCACACAGGAGCTTCTCCCTGCACATCAGGAAACACTTTTTCCCTGTGAGGGTGACTGAGCCCTGGTGCCCAGGGAGGATGTGGAGTCTCCCACCTTGGAGCTATTCAAACACCATCTGGATGGGGTCCTGGGCAGCTGGGTGTAGGTGGCCCTGCCTGCACAGGAGGCTGGAGCCAATGATCTCCAGAGGTCCTTGCCACTCTCAGCCACAGTGTCATTATATGAGTATTTCTCAAAGAAGTGTCCTTCCCTGGTTAAACCATATGTCTCTTGATCCATGAGGGTTTTTTCCCTTGCTTTTGCCCCTCTGATTCTCCCACTCCATCCCACTGACGGGGGCAGTCAGCAGCTGGGTGGGTGCTCCCCTGCCAACCAGGGCCAACCCACCACCCGCAAGGGGCTGCAGCCTGCAGAGGGGCCAGGTGGGAGCACAGGCAAAGCCACCACAGTGCACGGACCCCAACCTCTGCACCCCTGTCTGACAGGGTCGAATGTGCCCTACAGCAGCCGTGGGAAAGGAGTCTGGTGTGAGCTGGGCCTGGGAAAGGGGGAGAAGAAGTGAAATCGGTCTGCTTCAGATGAGTGTGATTCACGTCCACCTCTGCAGGGGAACTTGACCCTATCCCACATGGAGGAGCACCATCATCCCAGAGGCCAAGCATCTTCTGGGCAGCCTAGTGCTGGTTGTATTTCTGCTCTGGCACAAAGGACTAAGCTGCACTGGTGATAACTTCCTTCTCACTGAGCTCTACCAGAGCAGCCTGGTAACATCCCACGAGGGCTTCAGTCTGCCCAGCGCCTTTCCTGTAAACTCTCCTTGCTACAGAGGCAAATTCCACTAGTGGTCATCACCCTCCCAGAAAAGGGATATGGTCACCACTTGGCCAAAAGTCAGCACCAGGAGGAGTGTGGCTCCTCAGATGGAGCCCCCATACAAAGATGCACATGTCCAGGTCTCTGGCTGCAGAGAGTGCCTGAGTTTGTCATTCCTATGGGAGGTCAGCAGTGACACCAGCTGTGAGGTGTGACCAGGTGAACGATCTGCTCCACCTGGTGGCTGAGCTAAAGGAGGAGGTCGAAAGGTTGAGTATTAGGGGGTGGGAGAGGGAGATCGATTGGTGAAGCCACACCCTGAGGCAAAGGCAGGAGATAGAGACTCCACAAGAAACACAGGATCCCCTACCCTCTCGCCACCAAGCAGGAGGGGACGTAAGAAGTAAGAAACGGAGGGGAACAGAAGCAAGACCCTGCTCGGCAGGGCAGGAAAATCCCCTCCTGGCCTTCCTCACCTATGCAGCTGCCCTTACACAATAGATACGGGGCTCTGGAACTTGAGGGCCAGGCAAATGAGGACGTTGAAGAAAGCCCATCCAGGGATTTGCCTACAGTCAGTCGCTCTGCCCCACATTAAAACTGCCCCAGTTGTGAAAAAAGGAGGGCAATTGTTGTAGGTGATTCCCTTCTGAGGGGAACGGAGGGTCCAATATGTCAACCAGAGCCATCCCACAGGGAAGTCTGCTGCCTCCCTGGGGCCTGGGTTAGAGATGTTACCAGGAAACTCCCTGGTCTGGTCCAGCCCTCTGATTATTATCCTCTGGTAGTTGTTCAGGTTGGTAGCGATGAGGCTGAGCAGTGAAGTGCAAAGGCAATCAAGGACTTCAGGGCACTGGGGCAATTGGTTGGAGGATCAGGAGCACAGGGAGTGTTCTCCTCAATCCCTTCAGTGGGAGGGAAGAATACTGGTACGAACCAGAAAACACCGCAGATCAACACATGGCTCAGAGGATGGTGCCATCAGTGGAGTTTTGGTTTTCTTGATCGTGGGGAGGTTGATGCAGCACTGAGCCCTCTGGAGACCAATGGAATTCAACTTTCTCCAAGGGGTGAAAGGATCCTTGCACATGAGTTGGCAGGGCTCATCAATAAGGCTTTAAACTAGGTCTGAAGGGGGGAAGGGGATAATACCAGGCTCACTAGAGATAAGCCTAGGGGTGGCATGCCAGTGTTGGGGGTGAAATCAATAACCCAACTCAAGTGCATCTATACCAATGCACACAGCATGGGAAATAAACGGGAGGAGCTGGAAACTATCATGCAGCAGGATAGCTATGGCCTAGGTATGAGTCCACACTCACGGCCTGAGAGCCACGAGCTGGCATCTAGGGGCTCAGTATCCAGAGCCTCAATGCCCAGAGTCAGCACCTGGGGCCTCAACAGCCCTGAACCCACACCCAAGGACTCTAAGTGGGCACCCAGGGCCAGTGCCCAGGGCCTCAGTGCCCCAATTCACCACTCCTGGGGTCAGTGCCCCAAGCTGGCACTCAGGGTCTGAGGGCCCAAAGCTCACACCTGGAAACCCAGGGACTCAGCACCTCAAGTTACTACCCCAGGGGTCAGCACCGTGAGCCAGCATGCAAGGTCACAGCCTCTGAATTGGCACCCTAGGGCTAAGCACCCTGAGCTGGCACTCAGGGACTCAGCACCCAGAGTTGGCACCTCAGGGCTTGGCATCCTGACCTGGCAGTGAAAGGTTCATCACCCCAAGCCAGCATTCTGGGGCTCACCACACCAAACCAGCACCAGGGACTTAGCAGCCAGAGCCAGCACCCAGGAGCTCACCACCCTGACCCAGCACTCAGAGGCACAGAAGAACCACCCAGAGAAACAGCAATAGTCTTATTTCAGCATTACAGATTCAAAACAGGCGGCCTAGGAAGGATCTCCAGCTGAAGGAGTCCCAAGCATGACAAACACGTTCCAACAATGCTCTGGTTGCAGGAAATATAAAAATATCATGTACTTCGCAAGTATAACCCTCTCCACCTCCTGCATGGATAGGTGGAGAGCTACTGGGTGCTGCAATACTGGAAATGCAAGGTCCAGCTCCGTCACAAGCACAGGTCTTTGCCAAAAACTGTTTTTCCTCTTCCCAACACTACTAACGCTTGGCAATGATACAGGGAGGGAGAGGATGCCCCAGGAATGGGCACAACAGATCAGTTGAGAGATGAAGGAAGCATCAAACCAGAGGAGAGGAGCCTGCAAAAGAAAGAAAAGGTCTACCAGGAGCCGGCCGCTCCCTCCTACCCCAAAACAGAAGGAGAAACAACAAAAACAAATGAAAAATGTCAATGCCATAGAACCAGAGCAATCATCCTCCTGTAGGTGCTGCACAAAAATGCCAATCCCATCAGAGCACAAAGCTGTACAAAGCTGCAGGGCAGGGCAACCGCGTTTTAAGGCTGTTTAGGAAAGGGAAGCTGAATGCCCAGCACAGCACCAGGGTCTTTTTTCCCACCTAATCCACACCAACACTGCTGGAAGATCTCCCTTTGGATAACCAATGCTCTTGGCCAGAGCATGGGAAGGAGGAGAGCAAATGTCCTTTGGACAGCTGAGCACACTGAATCAGAGCCCCTCGACACTCTGAGCCTCAGAGCAGCCCGCTGAGCCGCTGCAACAGCTACAGCAACAGGCATTCCCTCAGTCTTCCCTGCAAAATTAACAGTCGAGATCGTGCACAGCAGCAACTGTGGCTTTAAACAACACAAACAAGAACACCTTGTTCACCTTGTGAGCACCTTCCTCACAAGGAGAAACCACACTTGCACCCTAGGTTGCGAGCAGCTCCTTGACTTTCCTTCTCCCCTTATCACAATTGTTGACTAATTACACCCCAAAAAAATCTCCCTGCAGTCACTGGAGCAGGAGACAGGCAGGGGACTGCACAGCAAATGCCTCTCATGCCAAATCTCACACATAATGTAGGTATGAATCTAAAAACGTGCCCATCTTATAGTTTCAAGCTAAGACCCTGCTATAACTCTGTTGCTTGGAGAGTGACCTGTCTGTGGGAGAAGAGCCTGAAGTACGGGAAGGAGGAGCAGAATGAAAAAAGCTTTCAGGACACATCCCTCAGTTAAACTCGCAGAAAATGTCCCAACAGTAGATATCACCCAAATAGTAGATACCACAGGTGGACACAGGCAGTGCACAGAGACAAAGCCTGGTTTGGGCATTTAATAGACCACTCCAGTCCCACAGAAATGGGACTGCACCAATCTGGAAGAATGGGAAGGCAGGAGACAGAAAAAAAAAAAAGCTTTTTAATGTCTGCTGAGAGAGTCTGGGCACTTCGCTGGGGCAGTGCAGGTGATGTGCACACTGCTCCCAAGCAGTGAGAGGCTGGGGAAAGAAGTCCAAATCAGGAGGCAACAGGGTTGCAATGCTAAGCCAAGGCAGAAGACAAGGCTCCAGTCTCTAAAACTCACCTGGCAGTGCACTCCTTCCTAAGTTGCTTGGCAACTACCAAATGAAAAGCTTAAAAGATTAAGGAAATGCAGAACACCAGAAGGTCAGGACCCCAAAGAGAGAGAAAGGAAGAGGAGATAGGAAAAAAAAAAGTTGCGTTGTGAAGAGACAGAAGAAATCTGACAAAGCAATTGCATTACGCGGCTCCCAAACCCATGAGCAGCAAAGGAAGATATCACAATGCCAATTTCCAGCTTAAGTTCCTTCTTTCTACAGCAAGATGAGATTTGAGTGCTTCAGACCATCTTTTCCCTTTCGGTCCCCAGGTGTCCTGCCCCCCAACCTCCTCAAGCCTCTCCCTCCAGCCCTGCCATTCTCCGTTCAGGCGATCTTGGCCAGCCATTTCTCGAGGCCCTCGAAGTCAGCATCTCCTTCCTCTCCCTTGCTGCCCCGAGCACTGCACTCCACAAATTCCACCTTCATGGGTAGCTGGGAGAAGTCGAAGTCCTTGCCCTTCTTCCCCAGCTGGGCAGGTCCCCCAGTGCCTGAGCCATCCAGACTGGTGGGGGCTGCGGAGCGGGTCACTCGTAAGGTGTTGCTGCAGACAGAGAAGGGACAGGGTCAAGAACTGTGCATCAGGGGAGCATTATCTATACCATGACTGCTGAGATGTTTTGGAGCCAGCTCTGTCAGCAGGGTGCCAGCTCCACCAAGGATAGAAGGTTCCAGAGCTCTGCCCTGTGAGGCACAGGCAGGGGCAGGCACTTCAGCCACTTCTAAATACCTGCTGGAAGGCACAACTGCAGAGAGGCTCAAGAGAGCAAGACAGACAGGAGGCTACTCAAGGTGCTCAAATAGGTTTTGTTTTGTAAGAAACAGCAGCAAGAGTCAGGCAATGGAGTCCTCACCTGAATTTCCCCAATATTCCCATAGCAGACACCGGTCACCAGGAATTACACATTTTTTAGCCCACAGTGCCCAAGAGCTGCACTAGTTTAATGGGTTAACTGGGAAGAGAGAGGCACCCGTGACATCAGGGATCACACAGGGGCTCACCTCACTGCCATGTGAGCATGTCAAATACCTCTGGGGATTGAGAGAGGGACTCAGTCTCCTCAATGCCCCCATGAGCAATGCCTGCCCAAGGACCAGGCTGCAATGTCCCTCCTGCTCCTGCCCTTGGGCTTCCTGCAGCATCTCACCTTCCTGCCACATGTGGGAAGGCTTAACCTCCTTGTCCACACTCACCAGGCATCCAAGGTAGAGGCAGCACAAGGAAATGGAACAGCCCAACAGACACAGAGGCACTGCGAGTTCAGGAATATGAGAGCAGACACTTCCTTGGCTTCTCCACACAAGGACATTCAAGCACAGAGACGATGGCAGCAAACTGCCAACCTGCAGGAATAACACTGCCTAACAGGGCACATACCTAGAAACTCCACTTCTACACGCAGGTAACTGACAAATGCTCAACAGCAGAACCAAGGAGTACTTCTTCTCCTAGAGAGCTTGAATATGTGGCAACTAATTCCTCCTTTAAAACCAGGAAGGTCAGATGGCAGTAGTAAGCCCTAGTAACCACAATGCAATTGTATTGGGGTCCTTTCTGTGATGTCTGTCTATGCCACAAGACTGATGTACAACCATGGTATCACACACAAGCCTCACACAGAGCAAAGCTGTGCCATAATATCTATGCTGCCCCCTCCCCAGATGGACGTGCAAGCTGATGACTGATGACACCACAGCTCATTCAGCTGGCAGCTTACAGCACAGCACAGTCCGCAAGCCATGTTCTCCCTCCTTTTACAACTTAAAATTAACAACAGATCATACATCATTTGTCTTCCCAGGTGAACTGCCTGCCTAGGGCGACACAGAGTCAACACAGGGGTCTCAAACAGGCTCCTGCAATGCCTTTCAACAGCTCAGGAGAACTAGATGCGCTCTTCCCAGATCTCAAGCTTTGCATGCCAAGTCCTCCTTTTGCATCAGACCAGCCCCACAAAAAAAAACAAAACCCGTGTCAGTAAAACTGCGCAGAGCTCTTGAAATCTTCAACTACACACAGAAAAATTTGACATTTGGAAGTCAATGCTGCCTGTGCCTCAGAGAGGACGGTGCCATGGGAGGTATCGCTTAGCCTAGGGATGGCAGCTTTTAGGAAAGGATTGGCACATTGTTTCTCCAACCTGTAGCTGCTAGGGGGCAATACACCCTCTGTGCCTACTGCTTTTTTGTGTGCAATTTTCTCTCGTCCCAGTTACACATACACAGACAAAACAGACTGTTCTTTCTCTTCAGTGAACTTAGATGTGGCTCAGGGAAGCTCACTGAGCACTGAGGTAAGAGACAGAAAGGAGAAGAGAGAAGCTTAGAGGGTTTAAGATCCAATTTCTTACTTACAGCTCTTTCTCCAGCTGCTGTTGAATAAGTTTTGCTGATTTTGCCATTGTGACATCTAGAAAGAGAAAAGAAAAGGAAATCAGCTCTTTGGGTTTATGTTTTAATTCAGAACCTGCTTCCTTCTTCTAAAGGTACATGCTCACACTGTGCAGCTGTAACAGTTACCTGGACAAAGGCGGCAGTGTCTGCACTAGGATAAGGAATTCTGGAGCTTTGCTCTGCAGGCACAAACAGGAGCAATCCAAGAGTCTGATATAACATGGGGAATTAATTTCTTCTTGCTGGGCAGCAAGTTGCCTTAAACACAGTACAGGGTTTGATGTACCACCCACAAGGCCCAACACTCTCACCTGCCTTGGCATTACAGAGCTCAAAGCAGCACTTTTTAACCCACGGCAGCTACTGAAGTACTGCAGGAAATAACTAAGAAAACCAAATCTGATACAGCTCAATAGCTTCAGATTGTTATACAAAGATCGACATCTTCACTGTAGAAGTTGTAGGAATCTGAAAATCTAGTCCTTTCCAGTAACTGGATGTTCTTGCTAGTCAAATCAAGATAAAACATACAATCTTGATAGCTAAATGGCTGCCTGATTTTAATGCTGAAGCTACCAAGTGTGTACAGATAGTTCATTACACTCAAATTAATCTTATTTTCTGCTGCCTGCAGATTCAAAACGACAGTTCTGCACAAGCAGAAGGCCACCTTACTTAAGCCCATACTTGAACTAAGAATTCTTCCAATGGCTGCTAGATATGTCCCTGCTAACTAGCCAAAGTTTAAAACTATGTTCCAGCCCCCACTTTGCTGAATTCCTGACTCCTAATTCAGCATCCACTGTGCAAACCCCTACCACTCAGGGACTGAATCCTATGTCCAGCCCACACGGCAGCACATCGTACCTTGCTTATTGCAAGCGATCAGCAGCGCAGGTGCATTTTTGAGCACGGTGCTATCGACCAGGACCTGGTACAGGAACTCTGCCACATCCTTCACCTCCCGCTGGAAGGCCACACTGTCCACCACAAACACGATGGCTCTGGAGGAAAGAGAGAAGAACATGTGCTAAGCCAGAAGCTCTGCAACTATTTTCCCCTATAAGTATTCCAGTTGGGGCTAACATATTTGTTTCCACATCTGACCTCATCCAACCCAAGAGCAGGTTGTGCTGGCTGAAATATACCCTGTTTCCCACAGGAAATCTTTCATCTCTGCCCACATTTCCTAATGCCCCGGCTGCAGTTGCTTTGCCTCCTGATGCATTACAAACACAGGTAAGTGGGAAAGCAGAACAGTAACCAATCCCCACTACCGCAAAGCAAAGCTCTAACTCTCAAGGCACCATCACACAGAGTGAATCCAGCCCAGTCCACAGCACCATCATTTGGTTTATCCAAAAGATCACCAGCCCCCTTCTCCTCTGCCAACCACCTTCAAGTTACCTGGCTGCAGCCTTAAACCTCTCCAAGAACTGAAGCCGCAGACTCTCGTGGCCGGGAAGGTCAATTAAGGTCACATTAGCGCTCTGGGAACAGAAGCAAGAGGGTGTTAGCAACACCTAATCTAGGGGTACCTGACATCCCAGACTGAGGAAAACCAATCTGACAGTGTGTCGTGTTTTAACCCAGCAAGCAGCTAAACACCATGCAGCTTGCTCCTCCCCTCCCCGGTGGGATGGGGAAGAGAATTGAGAGAGTAGAAGTAAAGAACTCATCTGGTTGAGATAAAGACTATTTAATAATCAAAATAAACCAAACTGAAAATAATAATAATAATTGTATTAAGAGTAGGAACAACGATAATAAAGCAAGCAAAGCTGTACTCGGATCACAAACAGCAGCCACTGCCCATATGCCAATGAAAATGTGACAAGGAAGAGCCTCAGGAATCGAGACAGGTGCCACCATGGAGGAGAAGGGAAGGAGGGGATCAAAGAAGGGATCATTCCCTGCAAACTCCCCAGTTTATAGTGAGTGTGATGTTTTTGAGAGAGAATACATTTTATTGGTCCACTTGGATCATACCCACATCATCTGTCCTGAGTCACCTGTCCCAGAGAATCCTGGGCTTTCACTTCCCCCCAAACTCTTGTGCAGAGAGAAGGGAGAAGAAGAAGAAGAAGAAAAAAAACAACAAAAGCAAACAACCAATCAAAACCAACAACTATAACCACAGGTGCAGTCAAAAGACTGAAAAAATGTAAATACTGGTGTGTTTCCATAGTAGTCCCAGCACAAACTCAAAACAAAACTCTCACCAGCTACTATGAGGAAAATAACTCCATCCTGGCTAAAGCTGTAACATCAGCTTCTGTTCACTAAATCAAACACTGTAGTTCCAGCTCTACTGAAACATTAAAAGGGAATTTTACAATCCAATCCCAGCAAAACCAGGACATAGTGGATTCCAGTCAGTCTGGTGTTGAGGCAGCAGCGGGCAAGTGAACCCCCATGCTGGGCAGAAGCACGTAACACCCCGCGAGGTGCAGTCTCTCCAGCAGCCCAAACAATTCTGACAGGCAAAAGAAATGCTGAGGAACATTCACAGCCAGGAGCTACTAAGGAGGGTGCCAACACCAGCAAACCACCCACCAGAGCGAGAGGACAGAGCATGACTGCAGAGAAAAGCAACTGTTCCGCCTGTTTCTCATTCACAGCGCCCTCCCCTACAACTGCCACAGGCACAGGGCAAGTGCCAAAGCTTCACCAGCCACCACTCTCGGTCCACCAGCAGATTTACACCGTCACTGACAGCAAGCAGATCTCTGCACCCAAAAATCATGAACTCCTGTCCTGCAAGTCCCTGACACAGACTACCAATCCTACAGTCTCTGAATCAAGTTATCTATTAACTCAAACGATCTGCAAGTCTACCTAAAACCACAGAATGTTGCTGGGAATAACACAAAGATGCCCTTGCAAGAGACTTTCTTTTTTTAATTGAAAGCTGCAAATGTTTCCCTTTCCACAGTCAGAGAAAGCAATGACACAAGAGAACGAACAGCTCTCGCATGCTCCTGATCAAGTTGTGGCCAAGCAAGGCCTTGTAAATGTTCTTGAGATAACGCACATTGCTCTTGAGAGGGGAGGGAACGCTGCATAAGCCCCTACATAGCCTCTGCTCCTAGGTTTTAATGGAAACCGTGTCTACAATTTAAAAAAGAAAAGCCACAGTCCTCATTGCAGCATTTCAGCACCTCTCCTCCTCCAAATACCTCCTGTCTGCTCAGTCTTAGAGACACAAATATTTAAAAAAGAGCTGCACTTTACTAAGTTTTTAACCTCTTCTTATCCCCATCATTACTGAAGATTGCCATAGAGAAAACATCCTCTACTTCTACAATTCACCAGCACGTAACATGCTGCCAGCTTGCTGCTTTCACTGCCACGTGCACACCCAGCATGAGAAAGAAACTCATCTGAAATGAAACAGATTGCCATAAACCGAAAACAACCAGGTCTGTGGCAGCCCAGGACCTGAAAAAAAAAAGTTTTGCAAAGGAAAGAGAACTTGTGCAGATGAGGTCCAAACACCTCCCAATATTGTCATAGCTTCTTAGCATGCACTGCCTAGAAAAATCCAATTCGAGTCTTTGTCAAACCAGGTACTGACTGCAAGCTGGGAGGACTGAGCAGCGCAAAAAGCTTCGAGTCAGGTTGAACACAAGGAGTGGAAAAACAAAGGCACCAGCTGGCAGAAGCAAGCACGCACAAGTTACAGGCAAAAGGGCAGAGTTACATTAGACAGAAGGAAGAAATTCTTCATTGGGATGGTGGTGAAGTACTGGCACAGGTTGCCCAGGGAAGCTGTGGGTGCCCCCTCCCTGGCAGTGCCCAAGGCCAGGCTGGACGGGGCTTTGAGCAGCCTGGGCTGGTGGAGGTGTCCCTGCCCATGGCAGGGGTTGGACAGGAGCTTTAAAGTCCCTTCCAACCCAAACCACTCTGTGATTCTAAAACCAGCCCGCTCACCTTGTCACTGCTGACTCTGTAAACTGCGGAGCTGTCCGTTATGGAAGTCTGGGTATCGCGGTATTTGCCCGTCAACAGCTGCAGGGGGGGAAAGAAAAGAAGTCATTTGCAGAGGTGAAGGCTGGAGGAAAACTGGCATCGCATTTCATCCACTCAGAAACTAAAGCGACCTGTAAAGGGTAACAGATTTCAGAAATCTCATTTCAATTCAGACGCATGAAACAATTTCAGGTTTTCTTTTCCCCAAAGAATTTTAAGAAACATTCATTAAGACAAAAATATTTATAGACAGAATTGCCACGATACTCAAGCAAGAGGGAAAACCGCGTGCCTTCAAGTCCTTCGGAGCTCCTTCACCTCGGCAGGTCGGGACACCAGTCAGCTGGCGCCGGACAGCTCCCCGGCCGGGGGCTCCGAACCCCCCCTCCCCGGTCCCGGTTCCCCGTCTCCCCGCTCACCCGCGCGAAAAGCAGCGTCTTCCCCGCGCCGCCGAGCCCCAGCCGCAGCCACGCCCGCCGGCCG